CTTTTTGGAACTAAGCCTTATAACAGTAGTTTCACCAGCTTTTCAGATTTAAAAGTTTTCTGGGGGAATGGAGAGAAGAAAGGCTGTGTGAGAACAAGGATCACATGTTAGTTTGATTTCCTTATGAAATAATGATGATTTCTCTTTCTGAATGTTTTCTGCTAAAAAGATTTGAACAGGTATTTAGCAGCAGTAAATAGAAACTCTGTGGATTTCACTTATGCAGGTTTAAAAAAAAACACCTTACAATATAAAAGTTATTCCAGAAAAGCTTGCACGTGAAGTAGCAGCATGGTGGTTGCCTGGAAAGTTAGTGGACAGCAATTATTATCGGAGAACTGAAAGACTGAACTAAAATCTTCCAGTTTGAATTGGACGTTTAATAGTTCATTTTTACAGTTTGAATTTTTGTAATGTTCTGTTGGCTTGTGTGTGTTTATACTTCTCCCTTTACTGAGAATGGTTTCTGTTCCATCTCAGTGGAACAGATACATCCCAAACTGTATCACTTGCCTCACAGTTTTGAAACTTAAGGGATTTCTGAAAATCCTTCATTCTCGGAGATCAAAAGCTTCTGTAAACCTGGGTAACTCAGCTGTGCTGGAGCTATTTGAAGTAATATTGGTTGACAATCTATCTCTCAAATCTCTTGCTTGCCTAAAGTGTCTGAGCCAGTGAGTTAAGTAATGCTAGAAATTTGATCAGTATTCTTATTTTTCACCTAGGTCTTACTGCTGCTGCTTTAGCCTTGATTCAGTTCTCCTCTGACCAATTCTTTTTAAGTAGTGGCTGTTTTCTGATCCCACTGATCCCAAGTGGTTTCAAATTCACTTTTTTTTTTTTAGGAGTCATTTTTCCATATTTGAACAGAAGTCAGCATGAAGACTGTAGTGCTTCAACAGGGATAGAGTTGAATATATTTCCTTCTGAGCTTAGCTAACTTGTGACCTTTAATTTCAGTTGGAGCTCTGACTACAATAACTGTAGAAAAAACAAATTCCCCTCTCCCAATAGGAGAGAGTGATGCAAAGTCAGATAAAAAAGGCAAAATATCATTGTTTTGCAGCAAGCAAATGGAAGAGCCATACATAGTACTTTTTAGTTTGTACCTTGTCTTGTTTACTCTTAGTTTTACCTCTGTAGAGTAAGGATTGTTCAGAATACTTTGGAGCTCCTCCTGTAGTAATCAGTGTGCTCCACTGCATTCACATTGCCCCAGTTTGTCTTCAACTAACTCGGTTTTTGTTTCTGCATTTTGGAGTCCTCGTGAGCAAGTGACACATGAGTTGTTTGTAACTTGTGGTAAAACCATCAGGATGGGTAAAATACAGAAACATGCAGCAGAAATGAAGGGGAAGTTCACATGAAATAGTCTTCCTACAATATAAAATGTTTCCCCTGACCCTGATGAGTGCAAAACTTTACATAATTAAAATTTGTTTTCATTTTTACAGTATGTAACAGGTTTCAGCAGTACGTACCCAAATTATACAGATCCACAGCTGACATAATGATAGTTTTCCAAGGAATGTAGAAAAAGCCTAACTAGCATAAAATGTGAACTTTATGGGTTTCAGTTTGGTTCTCTATTCAATCACACCGTATTTCAGAAGTTTTATGTGACCCTGAAACATAGTTCTTTTTCAAAACATGCAGCTTTAGATTGGCATGTTTCTTAAGTTTGAAGAACGAATTTTGAGTCTTTCCAGTGCTGTGATATTCCCAGCTTGGATGCCTCTTTCTTATTTTAAATGATCTCTTGGGTTTCTAGCTGCTGTTTTACAGGTAGATGAGGAACTCATCCAAGCAGTCTGTTTTCAAATATGGTCTTTTATGGCTGGGTTATATCTAATACAAATTCCTGTGTGGATTTAGCCAACACTGGATTGTGTTGCTGCACCTGAGTGCCAGCACTGTGCCTGGTAGTGATTGCAGACAAAAAGTGCTGCCCACAGCTGGAGCTGGATTGGAGACTCTGTCACAGAGGAAGTTAAGGGCAAGACAAGCTTTCATTTGTGAAGCAAACAAAAAATCCTGTATGTTCATTTCAATTCTTCCAGCAAGAGCAAAATAATCTCAGCAAATCAAAGAGGAATCAGACAAGGCATCCCACTGCTCACCCACTTCATGCCTATCACTCAATTTTTGTGAGGAGCAAAAATACTGTATAGAAAGTGTCTCCTCTGAAAAATATTTATGACATTCTTATGCCAGCTTGTTTCCTTGTTTTATTTTTTTCATTTTGTTATTGAAAGTAAAGGATGACATATTCCTCTGTGGCATATGTCTTTAGGAATATTCAGAGTAGTCCCACTGATTAAGTTTTTCATATTAATGCCAAATTTAATCAACATGAAATTGCAAAAAGAAACCCACCCTTTCTATTTTGACAATAAAAATACAGAATAAACAGTTCAAACTGTCTTCTATCTTAAATACATGATGGGTTAATCATTCAGGAACTAATCACTATCTTACAAGTATGACTTGCAGCTCAGGGGAAATGAAAAATAAAATAAATACCATGCTAGTATTTTCTTTATTATTGGAAAACATTCCACAGTGTCAATGCATGCAGGGAATGTTGGACAAGTGTTTGAAGAGATTAAGGCTACTGTTTGGGAAGGATTTTCAGAGAAGACTGGAAAAGCTATTATGCAGTGTGCTACTTCATATTTTAGAAGGTTATAAAAACACAGAATAGGTAACGACTGAATAAACAAATATTTCAAAGCCTTCTGAACTAAGGGTGCATTTTTGCCTAAATAAGAGAGACATTAGCTTTTAATTTTTAATAAAAGTAAAATTTCTTTTAAGTATCACTTTTTGTGATATAACAACTGCAGATCATAGAAAAACATGGTTGAAGGAAGCTTTTCAGCTTTGTTTTTTTAATTTATTCCTCATCCATAAGAAAGGAGCAACTAAACTATTTACGATTAGTGTTTGCTCTGTTTTCTAAATATCTTTCTTTAGTACCTCAGGAGTTTTAATGCTTCTTTTTTACAGTTGGATTTTCCAAAGGCATTACATATATAGGCTTTGGGCTTAGGCTTTAGTGCTGATTTTTCCTCTCCATTTTCTAATGGACTGATGCCATTGCCTGTGTCATCTCCCTGTCCAGCTTTTCAGCTTCTGATAAGGTTCTGATACTTTGGATTCCTCTCTAGTTTCCTCTGTTTTTCTCTCTTGTGTTTTCTAGCTTCTGTTTCTCATTTATATTAAGCTGGATCAAATCACCATAAATTTTGGGTTGGGTTTGCTGGTGGTGTTTTAATTTCAGATAAATGAAAAGCTCAAATATGTCCAAGTTTCCTTTTTTCTTCTGTTTTCATTCATCCACTCAGGAAAAGGTGACATTTTAGTGGTGGGGCTGAGTGGGGTGTCTGCTGCACCAGCTTGATTTCTGCTCCCTCAGTTACCACATTATGACCCCTCTCTAAATGATTTTCGTGCCATGTACTAGTATTTTTCTTTGGCCCATCTCCCAGTGTTCCTTTCCTTTTTTTTTTATTTAATTAAACTATAAACCAGTTCACCAGGTTCCCTGTACCAAGCTACAAACACATGATGGTTTGGACATAAAAAGGAAAATTCATGAGAACCTCAGGGAACTTTATATAGGAAGTTGTATATCTAGTAGGAGTTTGACTTTTTAAACTCTGTTTTAAGGGGTATCTAGGGAGAGCAAGAAATGACTGGTAGAAATGTCTAATCTTTTTATGCTTAACAATCTTTTGCTGCAAACAAATCAACATTTCTAGCTGTGTGTAGCATCTGTCTTTGAAAAGAACCAGTCACTAAAAAAGAAGTTTGTTTAAAATATGTCATATTTCATCATAGAAGGAAATAGGAATTGGGGAGATTCTCTTAGTATCTCCCCTCCTTTCCCTCCCCAGGAAAATTTATTTGGGAAAAAAATGAACTTTGTGGAGCTTAATAATGACTAAGAAATTCTCTTAAGGAAATGATGGCTCTGCCCATCATTTTTGATCTGTATGTGGAGGCACGTGACGGGCACTCCAACAAAGCCACAGAAGTACAGTAGAGATATGAGCAGGAGGTGAGGGTGGTTCTGTGGGAATGAGACTTACTAATGCTGGGTTTCAAAGCCAATGTAATTTCGTGCTGAAATGGAACTATGGGAGGAGTGTCTGAAAAATATCAGTATACTGATGTGAGGAATAAAGCCATGGAGCAACTTTTCTATTTGAAGGGCTACTTTAAATACTTGTCTCTAAAAGCAACGTGTCTGCCAATCTTAGCATTAAAATTGGTCCTTTTCTATTTTCTAGGGTTTATATTATTGTTAGCAATTATGTTGTAATGACTTGTATCCATTAGCACCACGGGGGAGTTAAATCAACCAGCCTGTGCTCCGGGAACAGCCGTGGAGCTCCTCGGTCACTGCCAGTTTGTTACAGTATTAAAGGATGTCATGGTGGGTGCATTTTTATGTCAGAAAGTGTCACAGAGTTAAGTAGGATAACATTACTGTGTCAGGATAGCGGGAAAATAAATGCAGAACGGTTGTTATTAGACACTGCAAGTACAAAATAAATCTGTTCCCAAGAACACCATTGTGAATGAAAAAGGAGAGAGAGAATTATCCCTTGCTGGTAGCTTTTAGCATAGCAGGGTAAGCTTCTCTCCACTTTCTTTTGGGTGTTTTTCAGGATTTCTCCAGATAGACTTGGGATTCTTACACAGAAATTGTTAACTTGGCAGGAAAATTCAGATGTCTGATTTCTATTAAGATTGTTTTTACTCAAGATTCTGTAAACTGCACTTATGGCAGATAAACTAGTACTTCTAGCAGATTTGTGTGTTATGTGGTTCTTATAAAAATATTGAGTTTGCTGAATCTTTTGGAAACTCCAGGAGGAAGTTGAAGGGGAAAACCAACAAATAAACAAAACCCAAGTTACTTTTATGCTTCTGTTGTTCTATTTGTTATTTCTACTACTTTTTAATTGATGCTGGTATGTTTCAATGTTTAGGTGCTGCACTGTTGTGCCTGATCCATTGCCCTCTCTGATTTCCAGAAACTGGATATATGAACTTGCAGTAAACATTTTAAGTGATTACAGCCCTGGAAAGAAGAGTGAGCTACATGTGAAAAGGCATTAAAGTCAGTTCATGTGATGCAAACCTTTGTGATTCCACTTCCCATGGGAATACATCAGAAGACAAGGCACACTATTAAGGTAACCAAGCACAAATTTGTCCTACAGTTTTTTCCATTCATTCAAATGGGACATGAATGTTTTGTTTCCTAATCAGCACAGTTACCCTGGAGCTCATGTTGCAAAGTGTCAGTACAGTGACAGCTTCCCTTGAATGACAACTCACATCTATAGTGAAAAATGACAGGATTTGTAAACCAAGGTTGTTTAAAGAAAAAACTTGGTTCTTGAGTGACTTTTTCCCAGTTAATCGTTGCTGCATTTTACAATACACCTTAAATACACTTAATTTAAAATGAATCTAACTGGCCTGTTCAAAGGGACTCGTAATGACATATACCAGAATGTTCTGTTCTAGCTCCTACTAACAGAATATTGTTGATGGCAATTAGAGGATGGTCAGAGACATTCTACACATTTTACAATGTGTTCTAGTAAAAAAGTCAGTAGTAATAGGTCTCAGAGTTTTTAAATGCTCACCTTAGTGGCAAGCTGTTTTATCATGCCTTTGTTGTCACTTGGACAGTTACTGTCAGCAGCTGTTTTTCTAATGCAGACCTTATTTTTTACGTAGTATAAGCTGCTACTTGTCTCTCTGAATGAGTATTTGTGTGAAACTCTGTTATGTATGATATATAATTCCATTTATCCTCAAATTTCTTTAATGGCATCTTGTTTAACAAAAAGGGAGAAACAAGTATTTTATACTCATGAGTGTAAGAGAAAAGTCTTGAACAGAGAGCTGACTGGAAGCTCTCACATGATTTTTCTTCTCATGAATGTAGCTAGAAATCTGAATATAAATCACCATAAGGTTTGCTATGTATGTTAAGCACAAGTTTTGGAGCTTGAATTTGTATCTTTGCTGTATGTAGACTGTATTTAGTTTCAGATCTTGGGACAAGGGATCCACTCAGGGATGTTTGGATGGTAGCTGGCATAGGCCTCTATTGCAGACTAGGCAAATTCCTGCAAAATATGTATCTAATTCTAATAATAATGTGATCCCTCCTTCCAAAATAAAAAAAATAAGCCGCAACTTTATAAGTGCTTTTGAACACTTTCAAAATGTTCAGAAAGTCTGCAAATTGTCAGAAAGTTTTAAGGTGTAGTAAGGCAGAAGTCTTAAGTATGCTGCAGACATCAAAAAGACTAATGCTAGTGTCATGCTGACTTCATTTTCCTTTTGTTGAATAAATGTATATATATAGTACATTAAAAATATGGGAGGTGATCTGAAGTGGTTCATAAAACCTTCCTGGTTTGCAAATCACTGCATATTTTAACTGCATTGCCTGGTTGTCAGTTAGTATCTGTAGACATCTTGCATTATATTATACCTTGGAATTACATCTGAAACTTGTGGATACCGATACAGAAACTTGCTATTTAAGCTTTAAGGAAAAGAGCAACTTCTGTGTAAGATCTCTGGAGTGAAATTCTGCTCATGGTGACTTCAACAGCTTCTCCTTTGTTTGAATAATGATGATGGTTTTGTCTTTCCACTGCACTTCAGTGGAAGAAGGTTTTTTTAGGCTCTCTACTCTCAGCTTTTCAAGATTCTTCATGTTTATGGCCATTGATTTTCTGGAGATGTTCCTGTAATGCTTAAAAAATTCTTCTCTAGTGAATCATGTGATATCTTTTTGGTACCAAACCCCAGAGACTCTGAAAAGAGCACTGAGTTCTAGTGCATACATCTGTACACTTTATTCAATATATGTGGCTATCCAGGGTTGGTAAATATTTAGTATGTTGACAGTTGAAGAAGGTCTCTCTGAAAAGAATGACTGAATGATTTTGAATTTCAAGTAATTAAATGATGGTCAAAGAATTTCACCAATATTAAATAATCTTAATGAATAGGCAAAATTTCTAATGTTTGACAGTTAATGACTAAGACAATTTGTTTTCAGCATTTAAAGGCATTTAAAATATTCCAACATTTTACCGTCTTAATGCTTAAATTATATTACTTAGGATAATAATAGGGCTTCTAACATGTCTTTCTGTTACTTGTATGGCTGTAAGATTTCCCCAGACATTTAGCACTAGCCACTGTAGGACAGCTAACTGTACCTAATTACCATTCTCAAGATCCACTAACTCCTTTTCCCCCACTCCCATGCTATATTTACTTTTTCATGTGATGGGTTATAAAAACTCTTATTCTGAGGACTCAATAATCCATTTTTTAGTAGAGTTGGTTCAAAATGTTCTGCAGTCACAGATAGTATTGCCTGGGCGTTTTACATAAAGCAAAGCCAAGTTTATATAACAGAAACAGAATATATAATGTATGGCAAATAGTATTTGTGATCTTACTTCTCCCAAATTCTACCCTAAAACTGAGTTAAATTTGTTTTGCTTCTTTTTGTGCTCACTAATTCACATTTCTCCTATGTCCCAGGATAACTGGCCATAAGTGGACGGTTCTACATCTAGTGAGTCCAGTAATTATTAGAACCACTCTAAAAGCATTTCTTAGAGTTGCTGACATGATGAGATTAGACAGAAAAACATGTAACTAAATACTGTATTATAAGAAAAGTGTAAAGTTAGTGTCATACAACACTTGCTTGATGATACATAAGCTAATGTAAATGCACAAAATAATTGTCATCACCTGCATGAAGATAAATAGCTTTTCCTGAACTAACATGCTTTGGCATATAAAATGTTACTATTTTACTAGTTGTCCCCATTTTTTTTGACAAATAAATTTCATAATGGCTGTAAAAGGAAAGTGTGATATGTCTACTTAAGCATTACAGTATTAACAGTGGCCATTTCTGTGGTTCTATATAATAGAAATCAGTGGCATTGTTATCTTAAAGATTGTTTTTTAGCACTGTCATTTGACAGAAGTACTGTTTCTTTCCATTAGCCCCCATATCTAAATGTCAAAATGTGTGGAATCGGATACACATGGATTATCAGTGTGTGTGTGGCTGGAGTTTTATGATCATAATGCTACCTTTTGCCATAAATATCTGAGGTGGAGATCTGCATCTGTTATCCTTGCAGCCTGGGACACAAGGCTGTCACCTGGTGTGGTGACAATGTGTGAGTGGAAATGTCAGTTCACTCTGTTCTAGTAACAGCACCACCACATCCCAGGGGTTTGTGAGGAGAAAAGTGTCCATAGCACATGGCTGGTCTAAAAGAAAGGTCAAGTAATATTATTAAAACAATTTAAAAAATATTACAGCGGTTTCAAAGTTTTTTCTTATGAGTTGGAAAGTGTTTCCCCTCGTGCATGTGTACAATGAAGAATATTGTACATGAAGAATATTGTAAACATGAAAGTTACTAAGAATTCTGGGCTAAGCTGAGTTTGCCGCCAGGCAACTACTTCATATCATATTTGCTAAGTTGATTTGGGACCCAAAACCAGTTGTCTGAAATTTTTACCAGAGGTGTAATGAATGTCTGCATTTCATCTGGCACAGTGATGTCCCACACTTAATGAAAGCATCATTTCTAATATTTCAGTAAACATAATCAATACTCACTCACATGAAGGATTAAATTACTTCCATGTCTTCTAAGTACAAACTATCCTGGACATGTTTGGACACCTCCTTACTCTTTTTATTCTTGTTTTGGAGAGAAACAGCTCTCATTTTGGTTTTCACAGCTAATAGTATTTTAAGAGGTAATAGTTGGCAGCATTTGAAAATGGATGTATTTCTCTAGATCTCTTATTGTAACTTTTTCTCCTCAGAATGATCATGATGCCCAGTCTGGCCTCTTCAGTGTATTTGGAAGGATGCCTTTTATGTAGACTATCTTCCTCTTTTTTCCTGGCTTTTCTGCTTTTGCCTTTGCTTTAATGCCATAACCAGCAGCCTTCCTAAAATACCTACATAATTATACAAAATAGTTATATAATCTAGTATTAGACCTCCCACTTTACTGCTAATACTGAAAAACATCTCCCTGTGAAACACCAGGAAAAACATCCTTTCTTATTTAGTCTCCTATGGAAACAGTGTCTGAACGGTTGGGTGTGGGACACCCTGTGTTTGGTAATCACAGGAGTGGGTCCAGCACAAGAGTAGCAGTTTATTCCTACATGTGATTATTCCTAGTTCATTCTGTTAAATAAGTAATGCAGTTGTTGTTGGTACGCTAACTAGAGAAATAACAGCTGCACTCTGTTTTTCCCATATGTTTTGTGCACTGACAGTCCATGTGGGTGTGGTATTAAGGCCTTTTTGACAGATGTTTTGGATGACTTCAATATTCACAACTGGCAAATCCCCTCCTCAAATGAGTTAAATAGGCCTCTGTAAAGATCTCAAGAGGCTGGGTGGCACCTTCTGAGCAGCCAGGCTAGTGACACTTTTCCCTTCCTGGACAGCAGTAACTGTCCTGTACAAAAGCATCAGAAGCATCCTGAATAAGGCCTGATTATATGTGATGAGGAACAGAGACCACACTTTGTTTTTAAGCTGCATATGCCTTTTAATTTTCCTCATAAGGAGGTCTACATGAATGTACTTTCACACAGCTCATTGGATTTCAACTCAAACGGTATTTTAATATTTGTGTTACTGTAACTGAAGGGGTCATCACTGAAGTACTGGGACCTAGTAAGCACACCAGTTAATGATGCAGAGCTTTCTGGCTTGGCTGGAAAGAGATTTTACTATTCTTGAGTGAGTATAGTGCTATTGACTGTCTAAGGCACGCTGATAGCAAGTAGAACATTGCCACCCTTTGGCCATAAAGAAAAAGCACACGAGTAGAGCAGCAGCATTATGCAAGTTGGGGATGCTGCAGCAAAACTATTTGAGAGTATATTCATTTGTAAAGTAGCTGCTCAGCAATGGTAGCCCAGTTGGGTGGAGGTTGTAGGCATCATTTGCTTTGATGTAGTGTATTTCATACCACGGTGATGTGTTTGGAGAGAATATATTATGCTACGCACTAATTATGTTTTCCTGAGAACTGAATTACATATGCATTGTGAAGATAGGATGAAGGCTACCATGGTTACCATTGTGCACCCAGGA